ATTTTTGTGGAAAGAAACCATGATATATATTTTTTTCAGGATGTTTTGATGAATAGAAAGAACAGTGTTTATTTGAAATATGTATTTTACGGCATTTTGTTTGAAAAAATGTTTTGTAACATTATAAATGTCTTTACTGTCACTTTTGATCCATTTATCATGTCCTTGCTGCCTTGCTGAATAAAAGTAATTAATTTCTTTTACACACACACACACATTTTATTTATTTATTTATTTTTACAGAATCTGAATGGTAGCATTTGCTTAGTCAACTTGTGCTGGTTATTAAAAAAAACAGCCATATTTAAACAGGCAATAAGAAGCTTGTAAAGAAACCCTTCCTTTGATATTCTGATGTGCATTAGTGTACACTGGCAAGAGTATTCAAACCTCTGCAGTAACTTCACCACACCGTGTGCCACCCTACTATCACCACAGTCCACAAAACACAGTGTCAAGGGAGGTTTTGTTTTAATTACAGATGAGGAACTAAAAAATGCACAGCACATCTATTTTGGAAACAGGGAAGGTCCATGTTATGCGGCTTAATTATAAGGAGTGAACGCCTAAACGCAGATTCCTTCCCCAGAAGTCGCCTTTCTGTTTGTTTCCCAACACTTCTAGGAACAGAGAAACTGTCTGGTTGCATTAAGACCTCTGTTAATGGCTTGAAAATATCTGATCTGCCATTGCATGGGTTAGAAAGGTAAGACAGAACAAAAGGCAAATTCTCAAGGTTAATAGACTGTGAGGTGGAAAGTACCTGTCAGAACATGAAGCCTTTATTCAGAAGAACCAGGACATTAGGATTAAAGGTAGATGGGTACACACTCTATTCAAGTGTGCTTGGCAATGGCAGTTGCAGGAACAGGTATAATAATAGATCACATTTTTAAAACCATAATGGGACCGAATCAAACAGTCTCCTACAGACACGGTGTCATGATACTAACCTCTTGATTAATTTTTTTTGATGTTTGAAACATCAAACTAGTTTTGAATGTGTTAAAATAAGCAGAGAAAAACAAGTTGCTTTATCAATTTATCAGTCTGGTGTTTGCCTACAGCTCTGCTCCCCTATACCTAAACTACTTCAGACTTACGTGCCCTCCAGAAGCTTGCGTTCTGCAAAGATTTATTTATTTATTTGTGATTTAACGCCATGTCAGCAGCAGTGGCTATATTCATGGCAAGAGGAAACATTTCAATTTCACAATTCAGTCATATATATCATTTCAAAACAATTATATAACAGTTTTGTTTGAAAATTATATATATATATAAATAAATAAATAAATAAATATGTACAAATATACAAAAACATACATATAATAAAAATAATAACAAGAACAAAAGTAATAAGAACAATTATATAGAGTCTTTCAGCTTAATGCATGACAAAAAAATTTAAATCGTACCAGAAGAATTATTTTTTTTAAATGTCCATTAATATATTTTCTGAATAAAAACGTTGCCTAGTACTATTTAAAATTGGACATTCAATTAAAATATGTTTTATACTCAAAAGATTTTTACTGCGTTTTGCAAAGAGACACTAAATCACTTTTACAGAGACCTATACCTTCACTGTACCCAGCTGGTGGAATGACCTGCCGAACACAACCCAAGTCTTTAGCCATTTTCAAAAAATGGAAATGAATACTAACACTTTCCATTCTATCTATCCTTTTTATAATTATTAATTAAAAAAAACTTTGCTATGTGTAATGTGTTAGACGAACTGTGACTTGCCACAGCACTTACATATTGTTGCCCTTTTGTTGGTTTAATTGCTTCTATTGTCTTCTTTTTTAAGTCTGCTAAATCATTATATGTAAATGAAAAGGTAAATTTTCTCAATGTTGCCATAGAAGCAACACATTTTTGCATTCTGCACAAGAGCTGATTTTAAAGGGATAGTTAACCCAAAATTATTTACTCACTCTCATGTTGTTCAAAACCAATATGACTTTCTTCCATGGAAGACACCATGCACTGGTCGCTCTGAATAAAGACATTTCAAAGTTTCAAAAAAGTCCAAACCGCACGAAAAAAATCATAAGATTGGTTTATATGATTTATATGTCTTGTTATATTTCATGTCTTCTGAATCAAATGCTTTAGAATTTTCGTAAATAAATCATTCTTTTGAGTAAGATCTTTTAATGAATCAGTTAATCCAATTTACAAAACTGGTCTGAGGCTAAATCTACATCAGTCCCAATTTAAAGGGTTAGTTCACCCAAAAATGAAAATTCTGTCATTAATTACTCATCCTCATGTCGTTTCAAACCCGTAAGACCTTTTATACGAAGCTACGAGAATACTTTTTGTGCGCAAAAGAAAAAAAAATAACAGCTTTATTCAACAATTCGTCTCCTCCGCGTCACCCTGTAAACAGCGTATGCTGTTCTGTGTCAGCCGCGTCACGCAGATATGCTGTTTCCATTCAGATCAAATCACAACAACGTAGGAAACAGATCAGAACAGAACAGCATACGTTGTTTTACGTCCAGCGGATATTCTCCAAAATGGCACCAGGGTGATGCGGAGGAGACGAATTGTTGAATAAAGTCGCTATTTTTTCTTCTTCTTTTGAGCACAAAAAGTATTCTTGTAGCTTTGTATAATTGCGGATGAACCACTGATGTCACATGGATTATTTTACAGATCTCCTTGCTACGTTTCTGGACTTGGGAACATTTCAGTTGTATTGCTGTCTATGCAGGGTCAAGACAGCTCTCGGATTCCATCAAAAATTTCTTAATTTGTGTTCCGAAGATGAACGAAGGTCTTACGGCTTTGAAACGGCATGAGGGTGAGTAATTAATGACAGAATTTTCATTTTTGGGTGAACTAACCCTTTAAGCATTTGAAACATTTTTGAGTTTCGGCAGTTCAGTCCACACTGAGGCAGATTTTTGAAGATGCTCTCCTAAGTGCATAAAGTTGAAAATGCTGTTTTTGCATTGTAGTGTGGACTGTGAAAACTGAGGTATTAGATGAGCACATTTTGGAAAACACTTGAAAATGCTAATGTGGACAAAGAGCGTTTTGAAATGAAAGCAGTTTTCAAATATATCCGGATTAATGTAGAAGTAGCCTCGATGTTACAGTCACGATTGGAGTGATACGGTTCACAATGCTGGTCACAGCAATTCTCAAGTTAACACTAGCAAGAAAGATTATAATAATTTAAATTTTGGTCTGTTTATGATACATTTATGGTGATTTTGCATAATTTTTGAAGTAGCTCCAATCCCTAGATGAGCAACCGGTGCATTTTTTAAAAACGTCTCCTTTCTCGTTCCACAGAAGAATGAATTGAAAGACATACATGTTTGGTACAACATGGGAGAGAGTCATTGATTTTCAAAAAATCTCAATAATATCATCTTAACCTCACATACTTGCTCTACTTACAATTCACAAATCAGGGAGCGTGGCATTAAAATGCCGTCTAGAGGAAGCTGCATCGTAGACACTCTGTAAACACTTCAGCTGGCATCAAAACCCAAACACAACAAACCATGGCAGATCATAGGCTCATTATGCAAGGACACGCATTAAAAATTCAGAGGCTGCACAAGTGCAGGAAACAGGCTGGATAAGATACTGTTCTGTATACAGGAAGGACCTCTGTGAATATCATGTTCAACTGATCACTCAAGACGCCCGCGACATAATTTCCGTTTCATTTCTCTCTCTCTCTGTCACAAGCACTTCTCTCCTGCCAAATGTTCACCTCACAATAGCAGAAGTTGATTGGTGATGCAATGGTAAAAATAGAGAAAAGGGCAAAAGACAACTGATTGCTATGGAAACTAACAGGCGGCCTTCTGTTGATTGACAATGTACCAAAATGTGGCATATTGAACAGCAAAGGGAGGGGATTGAAACAAGAACCACCAAATTGTTAAAATGACATTAGTTTTCATTTAGCAGATGCTTTGTAATTAACTGTACAATTTACAAAAGCAATCCTAAAAAAAACGCAATTCATAAACCAGCCTATTCAGTGGTCTGCTACACTAGTTGAGCAAGTAGGCTTAGAGTTGACGAAACCAAACAAATACCAACCAGCTTAGATCAGATTCAGCAAGTTCAGAAAACTTGTTATAAATGTTCTCAGTCAGTTCAGGGTTTGATCCTGAGTTTATGATTAACTTTGGAGAGTAAGCACTTTAAAGTTTGGCATCTGCCAACTTTTGCATGGAGAGCATCAGCTTGATTCACTTCCTCTGAGAGAGTCAGCACAATTCTCTTCTCTTCTGGAGATTAAGAAATCGTTGAAAATATCATGAATTTAAACGTATTTATAAGGGAGAAAAAATACTGCTGCTGCCATGAAAATTCAAGAAGCCAACTCAAAGAATATTTCTGACTATATTAATGCAAGTGAATCAACTGAATTTAATTATTAATTTATATAGGTTCACAAAGAGCTTAAAATAAAACGTGCCAATTTAACCAATTCAAAAGCTTTATATATTATAAAGCTTGTATTTATATTTTAAAAAATGAAATACAAAAAAAAATGTGAAAATTGCTTATGTGTAATACATTAATTAACTCATTTCAAAATCTAATTTCAACACATTTAATGAGTAGCTACTGGCTATGCTCTTCTTAATTGCTTTACCTGTGAACTGCTTTAATTTGGAGGAAGAAATACAGTGAGTGACTTTACTGCATCAGATATATGTCACTTTGCTCACAGCTGATCTTATGGTGATGAGCACAAGTAAAACCAATCAATCTTCTTGAACCTGAAAAACCAGAATTTGCCCAAACTAAACTCCAACTTATCTGAGAAGCCACTGAAACCAGCTTTGTGAAATAGTCCACGGGGGTTTGAATCTACAAACATTCAATTACCAGACCAAATCTTCATCTACTAAGCCACACCACCCCAACCCTGTGACCGTTATGAGTTGTTTGTCATGATAACTGATTCAGCTTTCTTTCTTCCAGAGTAAATAGTTCTGAAAGTCACTTACCTGGTAGAAGTTTTGCTTCTAGTTTCTTGATGGGCAGTTGAGGACTTTTCTTCGAGTCAGTCTGTGTAAAACATTAAAAACACTTACAATCACTTAATCTCTTGCAGGTATGCAAGACCTAGATCTTTTACGCTTACATTTTTCTCTTGCCCATATGGCACAAAATCTCATTTCAACACATTCAATGCGTGGCTATGCTCTTCTTCATTTTGTCATTTGTTCTGAATATCAACATTTGTTCATATAAACAAAGGTTCCTCAAAAATTGTCAAAACAGTTAACTGATCTATTTTTGTGTCTCTGAAAAATAGTGATCGGTGACATTGTGTTGTGTTGAATGTCAACGGTTTTTGTGTCTATTTGTTAATGAGGAATTTGACACTAAATGTTTTTAGATTTGTGGAGTAAAAACTATTGTTTTATTTTGAAATGAAAAGATAAATTAGAATCTTTGGGTTAGCACGTTGTTTCTAGTGTTGTAATGTTTTTTTTTTTTTTTTTGAAAATATATATATACATACCGTTTTCAATGTTATGCATAGTTTAGCTGGAGTGTATTAATGGACTATGGCTCCACCTACTGGAATGATTGTAATTTTGCATGCAGAGTCTCAGTAAGGTCACGACTGCCCCAAGATGAAAATACAGTTCTCCTTTACTCAGAATACCTTTTTCAAATACAATTATAAAATGCTTTCATGTTATCATCCATTTCTCTTGTAATGCCTAAACCTGAATGCTTGTGTTGAATGTCAACGGTTTTTGTGTCTATTTGTTAATGAGGAATTTGACACTAAATGTTTTTAGATTTGTGGAGTAAAAACTATTTTTTTATTTTGAAATGAAAAGATAAATTAGAATCTTTGGGTTAGCACGTTGTTTCTAGTGTTGTAATGTTTTTTTTTTTTTTTTAAGGAACACTTGTAATTATAATTCTTGGGGTCATTATTAAAACATTCCATGAGTTAGATGTACATGTCAGATTCATTTATTTCCATTAGTAACACATTGGCTGATGCATCATCATCATCCTGCACGTTAAATTTAGATCTAAATATGATACAAGTTAAAAGTAAATGCACACTGTTCTAAAAGGAGGGAATCTTGCCCCATCTTACCCTACATGTCTAAATGCATGTAGTGCTGTGGTCCATTTTGACAAAAAATCATTAACAAAGTAAACACTGTTTACAGCGGACACACCTGAGTTACGGAGGATACCACTATCAAACCAAGTGAAGGCTTGACTATTGAGGTTAGCAGTCGTCCAGATGTCAAACATATGGGGTGACAGTTTTCTTAACATACTTATACAAGTGCAGAACAGTTTAATAAACGAGTATGACGACTTTGTTTTAGCTGCTAGTCGTTAGCATGATGCTAGTGTCTCACTCACCTGAAGTGGAGGAAGATAAGACTTAAAAGTCGGCTTCGTTTGTTTACCGGAGAACATAATTTAAACGGGACAATATAACAAAAATGCGAACTGTAAATCCATATAAGAGCAGCTTAAAACTCTTTCAAATGTAAGCCAAACTGTTTTGGGCTACTTCAGAGCATTAAATCCAGGGTTTCTTCAGTAGACAAGCATAGTTTCTATAAATGCAAAAGCAGTATTTAGTCTACGCTTTGCATGTAGTAGTATCTCAGCTGGAGCTGGTCTGTCCCGCTCAAGTCTCTTCGTTAGCGGCTGTCAAACTCAAACTTTTGCTGCTTTGGCTCCCTGCTGTAAACATTAACGGCATGCTCAGTCTTCTTGTGTGAATCAACAGTGTGAGTGTGTGCGAGTCCTGTGCTGGTGCTGCAGCAGACGGGTTCAGTCCTGTAATCCACCGTCCGTGTTCAGTTCAGCCATGTTTATTAAAGGAGGAACGGGGAGGTGCAGCGTGCTTGAGCTCTGGACCACAAAAAACAGGAGGAGTGAGCTATGGCGAGCCCTGCGGACCATTGGAGCGTTTTGTTTTTTAAATACGAATGTTCATATTGTTTATATATTTAATTCTATATATGAGCTAGAATTGGGCTTACTAGAATTTTAAATATTCGAATGCAGAGAATACGCTTTATAAATCCACTATTTAAATGTTTCTTAAAAACGTTAAATATATATATATATATAAATATA